AACTATAGAAGAATTTATTAAAATTAAATTGTATTTATGCGGATTTTACGTTAATTTAATAATTTTTCTGGTTATAAATATAGATTTGACTTTATTTTATTAAAATAATAATATTGAATTTACGCTTCTAAACCATTTTAGGCTTATTCTAGGTCTAGGACATTTTATATCTATGAGAAATTACGAAAAAATATATGTATTTCATATAAAGATGAGTAAAACTGAGTTATTTTTATGTAAATTTTGTTATTTTATTATTATTTTTAGTTATAAACAGACACAACGTTATTTTAGTCAAAAAAGCAACATTGAATAACTATAGAACCGAAAACTCCAATAACTGTTTGAAATGACTATCCTTTCGGAGATGTTTCTTTTTGAAATGCATACAAAATAACCGCTAGACAACGTCCATTTTTTAATGTTTCTGTCAGTTGCCGTTGTTCACAGATTTGCCTGTATATTCTTTACCCTACGAAAAATAAAGAACAAAATACATGATTTGCTAAAAAATGATTATAATTAAGTTATATTTATGCAGATTTTATGTTAATTTATTAATATTTCTAGCTATTCATGCTTAACTGAATTAATTACACACAAATTATCAGTTTATTTGCACATTAATTTAGATATAATATACTGTTTAGATCGTTATTATTGCTGTTTTAAATAATGGTTTAAGAAGTTTTATTATTTCTCTTAGTTTTAATTCTACAAATTACACGTTTTTATTATCAATTAAGACTTCTTTTTAAAGTAATGCCAAGAGAATTTATTTTATAAAAGTTCTTTTATATACTTTAATTAAATAGCATAAGATTTTTACAGATATAGGCAAAATTTACATTAATAATTGATAATTTTCTAACTAAGAAAATTAATCAATAATGATGAAGATTTTGGTCTAAATCACATGAAAAAAATACATTAAATATAAATGTTTTGTTAATAATAGGTGGGTCTAATTACATAGGTGTAAAATTTAGTTTGAGAAAATCTGAAAATGTAAAATAAAAATTACTAATTGTGAAAGATTAAGATATAATCAGATTTTTATTTAAAAATTTGAAAACAAAAATAGTAATAATAACTTTTATATAGGAATGGAGGTAATTATGACGTAAAATTCTTTATAGAAATAATATTTTCTATAATCTAATTATCTTAGAAAACTCTCATTATTATCAACATGTAAGAAGTTTTCTAATTATTTAAAGATGGGAATATATAGCCTATAAGTTATATATATATTGTATACAATATACATATTATTTATATTCTTAAATGATGGATTAGAAAATGTAACATTGATTGATTTTTGAATTTTGAATAATATTTTTGCAATTATAATTAAAATAAATTAAATTTAAAGCTTAAATTACAACTTTTTAATGTTTGAGCAAATATATATAACATAACTACTGTATATTTGTTCACAAACATTGCCATTTATATAAAAATTTATAAAGAACAATTGAAGCTTAGGATTTACAGAATCATCCAAGGAATAAATTTACGCAAGTAAGAGAAAATTAACTTTCCGTAGTGATACATAAATAGTATCAACATTTTTGAGTGTGCGTGTTCTGTTTTTTTCGTTATAAAGTTTAGAGAGGATTTCGAAGGGATCAAATATGCTAAGAGGCCCCAAAATAGTAAGTGTTCCATGCCTTCTCCATTTCAGAACGGCCCTGGATAGATATTACAGAGAAATGATGGCAGAGTGATAGAAGCCAGACTTACTAACAGAAGATTCTTTGCAATGCTCGAAAATATCGACTACAATATATTGATTTGAAGTGTGTGTCAAATTATCGATTTGGTGGATTTACCTCGAGCAGAGTCGACAGATATACAGGTCTCTCAGCTATGTTCTAAAGTAGAGTTAATGTGTTGGCGATCGAGTCTCTCTGCGGCCAGAGGTTGGTTTATCCATTTGGTTAGTAGACAGCTTTGCCATTTTCAAGCATTTTTACTATTTTTTCCACGCGAAAACGAAACAACAGCAGACCGAATAAGTGTTTCGTGACTGGGTGTAAGTCTGGCTGTTGCAAATCTGGTGAGAAGTGGCATTTTTTACACCACTTCAGAACCAGTTAGATAAACAGAAACGTATAATTCTCGAAAAGATTTACAACTCATAAGAAAATCGCAAATATGTGACTTGCATTTTAATGAAAGATTTCTCATTAAGAATTATATGCATATAATTAAGGACAAAAGACTTGAGATTCCTGGCGGAAAATGGCAACTAATGGTTAGAATTTTTCCAATTGCTGGCTATATTTGTCAATTAAAGTTCCAGAACATTTAAAATTGTTTGCAGAATACTAGCACATCAAATATTATTATCAACTACTTTTCAGATTGGATAAATTAAATTTAAAATAAAAATTTTTAATAATTTTTATTTACAGTTTTAAATTGAGTTATTTTTTTAAATGTCTCATTTTAAAATTTTTATATTGTGTATGCAAGTTTTGTACCTACTTTTCTCTTTGTGTGTACTGTATATCTTTTTAATAAATAGGGGCATTTGCGTTTTTCTATATTGTATTTCATTGCATATCTGTGACAATATAATTAGAAAGACTATAGCTTATCCGCTAATGAATGTAAGCAGACTCAGAAATTTAATTCAGATAAAGGTAAACTTTATTTTTCAAATAATTTATTAATTTTAATTCTACACGAAGTACACAATTTTATTTGATTCAGTAATAATAAACAATATTCGGAATGTCATATACTTTGTATTTTTGACACGAGATTGCTTTTCTTATGACATTCACATTGTGTCTATATATTTTAGTACTGTAGTTTATAAGATATTCTGCACCATTAAAAGTAAAATATGAATGCAGAATTATTGATTGCCTACTCTGACATCTTTCCTTATTTATGTGGGTCTATATAAACATGTATGATTAAAATATCAAGTAACATGTCTTTTAGACTCTGTATCGTTGCTGTCAATATCTAATAATATTGTTACAGTTCGTGCCATCTTATATTTATTCAATTTGTAAACCTCTAATTTATTATCTGCCTGTAAATATGAAAATTGACTTTTAATTAATCCCCTTTCTATAATCTGTTCCTAACCTTTTTTTTGGCTCAATTTTAATTAATCTCAATCTCATTAATAAACAATATCAATTGTAAATAATATTTACCATAGCTCTTTTGTCACTGCGTCCTGCAATAATTCACCTAACATTAATAAAAAAAAACCAAAAGGATTAAAGTTTACTCTTGATACACTCCAAAATCCATTCTAAATACCCTTTTTGTAACACTTTAACCTGTCCCAACACTTGTCTTAACATTTCTATACATCCGTAATTAAATTTATTTAAATCTCACAAACCTCTTCTCTTCTTGACTCAGAAAGAATTCACCGAGGGAATTCTATATTAATAATGTATAGATAGGGCTAATTATAATTTTTTTTACTATCTTTTCTTACTCATAACAAAAACGCCCAAAAATATTTAAAAACTAGCAGACCCCGCCACGCGTTGTTGTGGCTCAAAATGTATCTATTATAAATTTATAACACTTCCCCGTGGTAGGGGAATTTTTCGAAAAATTTTTTCTTGGTGTACATTCTGTTGACGTATCCTATTAAAACGCAAAAAACCGCATCTAAAATAGTATAAATAGAATCAGAGTTCTTTACCGTAAGCCTTAACTCCGTCCATCTTCCCCCAATGGGGGGAATTTCGACACGTATATTATATAAAAACACGTGCGTATTCGAATGCAGCGTTGTGTCAAAATTTCAAAGGAATCGGTAGGAACAAACGAGCATTACATTTTTATTTATATAAATAGACAGAAGATGATGTGCTTTATTTCATTTCCACAGAAAAGCATAATGCCTCACAGAAAAGCAAACTTAGGGTGGCGTACTCGTAGCGCCATCTGTTGGACATAAAAGCCTTAACCTAGATGATATATTTTAATTTATACGAATGTTTAACGGAATAATATACAGCCTATGTCCACCCTGAGGTTCCATTCTAAATATTGGTGAAAGAATTTTTGAAATCGGATGAGTAGTTTCGGAGATTACCTGCTGCAAACANGAAACTTTAGAAAATGACTGGTAAAATATTACTTAAACCATTAAATATATAAAAATTTCAGAGTAGTAGTTTATATTTTGATATCAAATATAAAATATCTTTATAATTTGAGTTTTTATAAAGCATTCTCGACTTATTTCGAGTTTTCTTCATTAAAGGAGCTTTTAAAAAAAATAACAATCTCCTGAAAGGTTGCTTCATCGATAGACACGCGACACGAAGGAAAAGCCATCTTTACGGGGGATTTAAGAATATTCAAAGTAGAGTGAGTAGTTTTCAGTTTAATTTACTCTTAATTATTAAATATAAATAAGAATAAGTTACGCATATTTTTTAATGAATTTAAATGACACAAAAGCACTTTTCTTAATAGAGGGGTTAATATTCACACCGAAAGGCGATTTATTCGATAGAAAAAACCGCAATCCCTCCCTGTCAATGATACAATTAAGCCTGTAATACCAAACACGCTCTGGGGATTATATAACAATATGTTACGGTTAGATAATCTACAGATTTCAATACTCACCTCGTAGGATCTAATGTAACTAGATTAAACATATTCTAGTATAAGGTTTTAATAAAGTGCTTCCTCAATTACAACGGCATAAGCTCAGGTAACAATGAAACAACAATGGAAGATGCTGATTGGTTAGTTACTCCCGGAGGCTGATAGTTGCCGTTACCGCCATTTCCAGAATCGACAATTGAAATGTTGATGAGAAAGCAGTGAATGCTCGGGTACTATTGGTCAGCTGATACTGACAGTTTGTATAAATGAGAAAATGCAGTCTAACGGTAGCCGTTACTAGATTCCTGTCAAGTACACACCCTCCTGTGTAAATCCACAATCTCTTGTTTGATGCCAGCTTGACTTGATAGCACACGACAAGACCAGTAGCTGTCTAGGAGCGATCCACCGCCGGGCACACAAGCTCACACGACACAACCACTTTCCATTTTCATAATTTCGATTTCCAAACCATATTTTCGCTCGACAATTCGGTGACTGACTGCACGCCAGCCACCCATCGGCGAGATATATAAAAGAAGGAGTCTGGGCTTATTCCCCAGTATGTCATCTCCTGTCGCCTATGCTAACTTTTCAGCTAGTTCGCCCGAAGATTATAACAACGATTTTACTTGCGAGGAATATCACAACCAAAGTAATTTCGGTGTTACTAGCCAATTTGCTAATTACAGTAATTCCTCGAGGAGTGTTGTCAGGGAAGGTATGCCACCTCATCCTTGTCGTTACGAGGATGGTGGTCATATGAGGGAATCGACGTCCGAAGATGTTGCTGTTGCTCAGGAGGCCGAAGATAGACCCACCTGTGATTATGCCAATCATAGTTTGACTGCTTTGTCCTATCCGCCATGTATGGCAGGCAAGTCTTTTTAATTTATCTGTCTAAATTGCTAATTAACTATTCTTTTTCTCGTATATTTGGGTTAAGAATGCCTTTAGTTTCGGCGCGCGAAGTCTACGATTCAAATTCTAAAGTTTTAACTATAATTAAACAGATTTTCCATTTAAATTTAAACAAGTCATTCGGGATTATTTCAAAATTGGAAAATATTCTCGTCTCTGAAAATGAACTAAAAGCTTGATGTTTCTACATTTTTTCTATTTTTATCTGTAAAGGAATTTGAGTAAAAGGATTTAATTTTTCCTTAAAGAATAGAAAACATTCCCAGAATTTAATGACGACTTTAGCAATAACCTTTACTTAACTGTATTAAAGTAAATAAATTTAATTCTGAAATACTTTAATTTCTATATAAACTGGATTGTTAATAAACAAGTTAAATTATAGATTATTCGGGAATATAACTATTAAGACAAATGAAGAAATCCTGGACTGGACTCTAATTATGTAATTTGTTGGTGATAATACCGAGGAATTTTGTGACGAAACTGTATTATTTCCTTACAGGAGTGCATAGGGATCCATATTACGGAGACTACGGAAGTCATTACTGTGGGACATCCCCTCACAGTCCATACAAAGTACAGAGACACGCTGCTAATATTCGAGAACGAAAACGGATGATGAGTATCAACAGCGCGTTTGAAGAGCTTCGTTGTCACGTACCGACATTCCCTTTCGAAAAAAGACTATCGAAGATCGACACTTTGAGACTGGCCATTGCTTACATCGCTCTGCTTAGAGAAATCCTGGTTTCTAATTATGATCCCTTAACTCATATTGAGAAGTGTCTCAAGGGAGAGATCAAAGGAGAACACGCAGTTGAATGGAACACAAGCGGTAGGTAATTCGCTTACATATTATTATTATTTTATTAAGAATATTCCTTAAGCTGCGATATGCAGGCCTATAAGTTGCCGAGTAAGGTATTTTTATTTAAGACCATAGAATTACTCACTTTTTTTCATTCCTTACAACGTAAACTGTCCTAATATTCCTGAGCTGTCTTACAAATTAAAACCTTAATTTAAAAATTAAGTAATATTTACTTTTGTAGTCTTATTATAAAAAGTTATTATAAAAAACCCTGCATAGGCTGTAGCTTGATCGATAATATAAAAATTCTTAGAATTCTATAAACACTTTCTTCTTTATCGACCTGATTTGGTCCAATGTTATAAAGTCCGTTAGATTATATTAAATTTTGGTAGAACGACTTAATTCTATTTAAGGACATTTTTTTTATCATAAGCGGTGGTAAATACAATTAATTAGTAAGATTGTATGCTATACTTGGCTGTAGATCTATCTAAGAATTATGAATTAATACTTGGGTACATTTCTATTTCTATATCTAAAATTTTATCCGAGTTTTAAATTGTTTAATGCAGTCTTAGCGTATAAAAGTTCAAATAATTTTACTTATTTTCATTTAACTAATTAGCCAAGGGAACAGCAATGTAATATAATATAATTACCATAATTCAAACCCAAAATTGAATTAAAATTGCGTCAAATTTTACTGTTAAGGTATTTATACAGATAACAAATTACTTAAGATAGCTAAATTTTATTATGCTTCATCTAAACTCAATTAAAAAATTCATAAAATTCATCATAAAATGCTTTAATGGGAGCTTCGTGTATAACATAATTACTTGTCTTTAAAATTTATCTTCAAGAACTACAAAGGAATGATTTTCCCATTTATTATGGCTTCCGAAGACGAGCCGCAGGGGTTCAAGTAGTTATATATTACACAGGAGGCTCCTAAACGATGAATTATGCTCCTTTATTAGGTGAATGATCATAGTTTACCATTTCAGATTTAACTGCACGATTATCATGGATCAACTGGGAGAATCTTGGTGTAAATCCCAATCGCAGAAGCGTACTTACTACATTATCTTTAACGACAGATTCACTGACCTGCCAGAATGGACAATGACTTTCTTTAGAGTTAAAAATTAATATAATCTACGATGTTTACACATAAATGTTCTCTGTGCATCCCTCGTTAATAAGTGTATCTAGATATATTTGCTTTCTTTTACGTACTAAAAACCTGAAAAATCTTCATTGAACTTCTGTCTATGTATATATATACAACACCATATAAATCCTGTATATGTCTGTAAATATGTAAATGTATGTGTTATGAGGTCTTTCAGATAACATATACTTGGTTGACAATCGATATCAGTTACATGTAGAAGCAATTGAAAAGAATAAAAAAAAGGAAAGAAAAGTTGTTTGGAAAATTCGATTTTTCTTTTATTCAAGTATTTTGTTACCACACTCGAGACCCCCTCCGAGCGAGAAGTAGGCACTACTTAAAAACCACGCCTCTGCCACGTGAACCGGATGACGTCAAGAGGCTGTGAGGTTATTGTTATTCAACAGAGCGTATAATAAGCCTAACATGGCGCCAGTGGGAATGAGTCGGTATCCCTTACAATAAATCCCATCCCCACCATAGAAGCACAATAGACAATGAGCAGGTTGCCAAAAACATACTGTTTTCCATTGCTGCGGCTTTATTTACGCTTGGACTGATGATCCTTTCACGACTAATTTCACACTTATCTTCACATTTTTGCCTTTTTTAAATAATAAATTTACTTTATAAACATTCTACGAGTATCATTTATGGAAAGAATCAATTTTTCTATATTTAAAAGTGTTATAACTCATTAATGAATAGACGAAATAAGAGAATTTTGTTGGGTTTTAAAATCTTCTAAAAGTAAATTAATTTCTAAATAATTTAATATAAATTATAAATTTCTTAATTTTAAAATGTTAAACTTTGTGTGTAGGGACTTAATCAGTTATATATTAATTTAGTTACTCATAAAATAGGTTTGATTTAACGCTTAATCATCATCATCATTATAACAAACTTTTTAAAATCAATTTATCATTTAATTTTATTAATTTATTTTAAATTAGGAGATTTAATAGAATATAATAAACGATTTCAGCCGAATAGGCTATATATGTATTATAAGTAGCACTATTTTGTTTAAATTTTGAAAATTTATGGCATAAATTTAAGATTTCGATCATTCATCGTCATTGCCACTTTTTCTTCAGAATAGATATATTTTTTCACATTATCATCGTTCGTATTTACTACTCTTTACTTCGTCATCATCTCTTCTTCAAAATATCTTTTCTCTTCCTGCATCTTCGTTCATCTTTTCGACACATTTCTCTTCTTTCATCGTCATCAATAAAATGTTAACTTATAAAAAATTAAATTTTTAATTGCCTAAAATAATCTTGAAAATTAGCGAAATACTTGTAAAATCATGATAGACGAATTCTGACGCATTTTCTAAGTAATAAACTATAAAATAAGGTTTCTTTACACTTAAATTTAATTTTTTAGGCATTAAAAATTTCCATATCTAAGAGAAAAATTAAAATTTAAGTTCATTATATTAAGTGTGGAATTATAGACTACAGCTCGATTTTAATGCTATCGTGGTGATAACGATACTTTCCAGTAAGTCGATCGCGATCTCCTAATTTCAAAATTTGATCTAAATGGATGTAAAATTCTAATCCGGTGGATAAATGTATTAATTTATTACAGAAAGGTTGGGAAATATTGATTCAACAATTGGAATTTATTGATCTAGTGGTTAGAAATTGTTGGAAAATGGTGACTAAAAAGCTGAAAATTGTATTTTTTCGTTAAAAGTCTGCTTCTTTAGTTGGGAAATTGTTTAGTTAATCGAAACTATCGATTTTCCGGTTGGAAAACTCTGTCCGTGCTCATTCCTAATTAGCATATTTCTATGAGGCTGATTGCTGTGATATTTTTAATATGTTCCTATCAAAATTCACTTAAGCTGTTATTAATTGCAATTAATTATAGTATTTTTGATAAGAAAATTACCCTCTGTAAAATACACAATTCTGTACAGAAATTCGATACAATTCTATTGAATTTTATACACTCTCTAGTATAAAAGAGACTTTAAAGATGTGTTTTAAGTAATAATTTTTATTAAAAACATGCAGAATTTAGGGGGAATTCATACACTGCTGACATTTTTATAATCTATCGATAAAATACGCTTTACGTTACAAGAATTTTATATTTAACACGTATTTTAAGGCCTGTAGGCTTGTAGAAAAATAATGTAGATTAAGGCAATGTACCGTCAAACCTCCGAACGAAAGCCACTGACAAAAACATAAAAAATGGTCGTAGTTTGGAGGTTTTCTATGCATTTTTCTTCAAACAAAACGAAAGTCGCCGCCATTTAGGAGTGGCTGTTATTACAGGTTCGACTGTATTATAAATTATTATTATTGTTATTTTCTTTTATAAGATAAACTTTTAGAATGGGCTAATTAAATAGTTAACTCAAGAAATTTTTGTAAATAAAAATAATAAGCTTTTATTGTAATAATATTTAAGTTAATCTATTATTATTTCCATTAAAATTTAGCTTTTAAAGAAATTTTGTTTATTTTATACTTAATTTTTTATTCTTTATCACATATAAGTTATACGAATTAACTGATATAATTTCTGTTTAAGATTAGTTTAAGTTTAACGCATATTTTAAATTATATTTAGGCCTAATTAATTTATTAAATAAAATTGTTATAGCCTATAAGCTTAATTAGTTTGTTTCAAGCAACCAAACTACAGAACCGTTTAAATTAATACTGTATATAAATCCATTTTTTATATGTTCATTCATTTAAGGTTTTATTCATCAAATTCTTACGGAGTGGCCAAAAGTCAGTTAACCATTGTATAGTCTAAATTGCTGTCTTATTCAAACACTGCTCTAAATCGAGTTTAGATCCGTAGTGGCGAGCGTACAGCATTACTTACAGCGTACAGAAATACCGACTCGGTTAATTGACCTTTGGGCCATTCCGAATTTTAAAAATTATAGTACTATATACAAGGTCGAATTTAAACTAGTTGTGAGGTTTTTTCTTCCTAATGAATTTAATAGTTTGAGACCCTAAACTTATTTGTAACTCAGGCTAATTACAAGAAATGTAGCAATTAAAACATTATATAAACTTATAAAGCTTATATCGATAATTAATATTACTAATTTCAAGAACTCTTTGAGTCTAATTAAACAAAAATTAAATTAATTTTAATCGAAGTTGGAAAAGTTTAGTTTTGTTCATAAATAGATAGGCCCTATTAAGAAGGCCAACAGAAACGAATAACTCCGGCCTTAAATTTATTGGGACCTCAAAAAATTCGTTACAAATTGTTTATTTCATAGCATTCTTGCGAATTAAGGAAGCACCCCGCTTTCGTTATTGCAAAAATTTTATTATTTAGAACATAATATAATTTTTAGTGTTGCTCTGCTTTTTTAATATGCAAGATGCCCCGAGAGCTACTTTTAAGGCCTCCTACAGGCCCTGTAAATATAGATTGGTTGTAAGCAGCCCACAATATAGAACTTAACTAATGAAATTTTTTTATTAATAAAGAAACATTTCACGCACTTCATTTGTTCAAAAAAAGTAAGATGGTCCTAAGGGACAAAAATAGGACCATATTTTGCACAGGGCTCCGTGCAAATTTTCAACGGCTGAGAAATATAAATATTTATCATTTTTAATCAGTCCAATTATATCTTAGGTGCACACTGACTAGAAAAAATAAGTTGTTAGCCACTAATAATGGGTTTCTGCAGTAGATCCTGTTATCAATATCGGATGATTTTGACCATCGTGTATCAATTTATGATCCACATTTCTTCTAGACATAGGGATTAGTGTTAATTTACCATTTTAGTAGATGTTATAAACACTTTTTGAGGGAAATCTCTTGTTTCTAGAAACAAGGGATCTGAACCCTGACTCGATAATGTAGTCTAAAGAATTTACCAGAAGCATGCCTTTACGCAAATGAAATATTAATTTCAGTTTATGAACAATTCATTTTCTTATTTAAAATATATGTTATTTATCAGCAAATTTTTTAAAACAAGAATGCATAAAAAATAACTTCCAAACAATGGTCTTTGTATGTTTCCGCCAATGGCTGCCGTTTACAAGTTTAACTGTACTGTACCTATACAAATTCGTGTTCCTGATGCTGCTATATTGCCTATAATCTCTCTATGTTTGAGAAAAATAGCAAAATATAGTATTTACAGAAGGACAAATTTTGTTTAAATCAAGGCCTAATTATCCGGTTATTATCTAAAAACTTATCATCAGATGCAGATTTACAAGATTTACAGCTTAGGGCTTCATGATACGAACTACAGTAGGCCTATTTGATGGAAGAGAAAGGAAAGGTCCTATTATATTGTAGGCTACACTTGTCTCTTATAGCTGTTTTATAAGTAAGGAAAAGATAAATTTTTTATAATGCCCCAAAACCAATTATCACGATACTTGCCTTATTGTGTTGTTTTGTTATAGCGTAGTCTAAAGGTGTTAAAGCTATGCGCATAGATTTAGCTGTGCTAAAGCTCTATATAGCATATAACAAAACAGGGGACAAAAAATATAAAGTTAAATTACCTTTTTAGGTATAATATACACATGTTTATAAAATGTTGACAGTTTAATAAGGTCAGAAAACTACTTCTTATTAACTATAAAGTTGGACTATTCTCCCATAAGGAGTCCCCAGTACTGTATATGTCAAAGACTGCACAAAGCATTCTGTTAAAAGCTAGTTCAACATGAGAATTGAATAATTCTCTCGGGATTTCAGGGTCAATATAATTCAGCAGCAGAAGTTTTGTCTTATGGCAAAGAATTATTTGAAAGCTTTTATGTTACAATAAAAACTCACTGTTAACTTCGAATTATCAATACTGTATAACGTCTTCAACCCATAAAGTTGTTAGGAAATTATTTGTTTAGACTTTTCTTTGTTAATTTGTCACATTTACTCGTGTCTAAACAATGAATTTGTCGACTAAGTTATTTTAGTTCAATACATAATTAAAAGCGCGCCAACAAACTATATGAATGAATTAATCGTCTAAATAGTCAAGTGAATCACGATATAAAATATTTAACAAAAAATAATGTATAGACTAATTTAATAATACAGTAAAGCCTGTCTAATGCCTAAACGAAAAAAATCACACTATTTTTACAGTAAAACTTGTCAATTTGGACACCCCTATATTCAGGATACCTCAATATCTTGAACACTCACACGGATCAGGACAAATCTCTATCCTTTTTACATGTATATAATAGTACTTTATCTTGGAC